CCACCCCGTCATCCTCAGCCATCTCAGAGATGTAAATAAGTTGTTCTCCTGCTGAGCAGCTCTTCACATACCTCACACTCCCAGCAGCACTTCCAAGGGTCTACATTCTGCCATCCTACGTCAGGCAAACCTCCAGTTGCCTCAGTAGGAAATATCTGAACTACCAAACCATGAACCCAGTCGGTCTCCCAGCTCCATTTAAAGGGCTGAGAAGCATCCTTGGCAGGACAGGGCATTTCATCAAGTGTTTAACACTGTCTGAAGGCAAGTGAAGAGGATCCCTGCTCAGACACTGCTCATACATCCTCCAAAATGATGTTTCTGCTGTTCTCGGCTCTGCTCTTTCCAGACTGAAAACAAACAACTGTCCTGCAACACAATGTTTCTCTAGGTGGTAGATTAAGACAAAACTTTTAAATATTTTGACTTAATCCAGAATCCAACAAGTTAAATTCTGTTCTCTTTGTGTGGCAGATATGACAGTGCATTCAAAACTCACTAAGTGGTGCTGCCAGTAGATAGAAGCACTATTATGCATTCATCAGACTATCAGAAATGCCTGTACTGTTTTCTATAAGCAAGAAACAGTAAAATTTCAAAATATATATCATCATCATATATATACATCACAAATATGAATCCAATTTACACCAGCAGAAGTGAATAACTCAGAGCCAACCTAACACTTTGAAGCTGTATTTCTAAATAATGACATAGAGGCTGTAAGGGGATCATTTTGGAGCAGAAGACATATCAAAAGAGAGTTTATTAAATGTGTTGGCATATGAAAGTACATGGAAAATGACCTAAAACGTAGTCAACCTAAATTTTCTCTCCTACTTGATGTTGTTGCTTCTGTACTTTAATTACCAGTGAGGTGTGTGGACTGTATGTACAGTTTTAGGAGTCCCACTTGCCTATAAAACTGCAATGAGAGGGAAGATCCTGTCTTCTCTCATAACGACGTAAAAAACATAAGATAGGCAATATACAGCTAAAAGTATTCTGAAATACCAGCTTGGTACATTCTAAAACAGGTACGACAGTCAGTGATTGGATTCAGAGACAAAATTAATGAGCACTGTATGGCCATCCATAATGGAACCAATGCTTTATGTAAGATCAACTCTAACTTATGCAAAGTTTATGTTATAAACATAACATTATGTCTATCCAATGTTAAAAACTGAAGGGATTGGATAGGAAAGGTATTCTCTAGGCAAGCAGTGCCAGAGGTCTGCATCCTAATAAAACATTTTTTTTCAGGAGATTTTAAGTTCTCCGGGCCCTTTAAGGTCAGCATTAAGGAGGTTAAAACTTTTTTTAAAATTAGAGACCTCATGTTCAACTAGGGGAACAGAACAGAGCTGCACTAACTCTATCACAGGGCCCCCAGAAGCAAAGTTGGGGAATTAAATAAAGATCCAGTTTATCCCTCTGTAGAAAGAGTTCCTGGACACCTCCTCACCAAAACCCATGAAAGCTTCTAAATCCCTGCAATTCCCCCTCGTCCCCCATTCTGTCCAGGAACTTTCCCCCTGGGTAGGGAAATAACAGCATTTCACACACAGAAAAGGTTTTTAGAAGAGCTGATTGCTGAACTTTTGTGATCTCTGTGGAACAGTCATTCCCGTGTGAAGGACTCTTCACAGCTTTTACGTGCGGAATATAAAATGTGCATGAAAATACTTCAATCTTGCTATTTTAAATTTCCAGGGGAGGTTTTGATTAAATATTAGGGAATTTTTATCCACATAAAGGATTGTAAAGCATTAGGAGCAAGCTGCCCAGGGCAGTAACAGAGGTACAATCCCTGAATGTGCCCAAAAACGTGCAGCTGTGGCACCTGAGGGCACGAATACTGGAAATAGGTTCTGCTTGCAACCAAGAGCCAGGGTAAGGGACTTTAAGGCCTTTTGTAAGGTTTTTTTTCTTCTAAAGCTCCTCACGTTCAGCCTTTGGTTCACACAATGCACGTCATGGAAGGAGTGACAATTACTTCGGCTTGGGCTGAGGGAAAACCAGTATTTTCACGCCCGATTACAACGCTAATGGTGAACTTCATAACCTTAAAAGTTTTGGGTTTTTTTCCAACCTTAACGATTCTACAGTTTTGTGACTTACAGTGGCGCCCGAAACGATGGATGTTCCACGGAGACACCAACGAGGACACGGCCGCCTCCTGGCCGGGACAGCCAGGCGCGTGCCCAGCCTGAGGCGCTCCCCTCGGGGCTGTGAGGCGCTCCCCTCGCTGTGGGCCTCGGGGGCTCTCCCTCGGGGCTGTGAGGCGCTCCCCTCGGGGCTGTGGGGCGCTCCCCTCAGAGCCGTGAGGCGTCCCCTCGGGACTGTGGGGCGCTCCCCTCGGGGCTGTGGGGGCTCCCTCGCGCCTCGCCGCGCTCGGGCGGCGGGCGGGACGCGCCCCGGGCTCCCCTCACGGCCCCAACATGGCGGCGGGGCCGCACCTGCCCCGCTCGCGGCCGCCCCGCCCCGCCGCGGCCCCGCGGGGCCGGCAGGGGGCGTGCGGGGCTCCGGCGGGACAGCGCCGCTTCTATTTAGCGCAGGGCCGGCTCCGGGGCACGCACCGACCCTCGGGGGCCGCCGCACCGCCACCGCACCGCCACCGCACCGCGCCGCCAAAGCACAGCGAGCGGCCGCCGCCACCGGGGAAAGGACGAGCGGCTGCCGGCAGCGCGCCGGGGCGAGGACAGCGAGCGGCCGGCGGCATCGCGCCGGCACCAGCACCGCGGGAAGGACAGCGAGCGGCCGCCGGCCCCGCACCGGCCCCGCACGGGCAGCGGCGAGAGGAGCGCCAGCGGTGCCGGCCCCGCAGCGGAGCCCGCGCACACAGCACGACCGCCGCCCGCCCGGCCCCGCCGCAGGTACGAGCGGGTCCGGCAGAGCCCGGCAGGTGCCCGGGGTGTCCCCCCCGCATCGCTTTGACCGAAAAATCGCTTTTCCGCCCCAAAGCGTGCGGCGGCGGGGCAGTGCCGCTGCCTGCGCCTCGCCCGGCGCCGCTCCCGCTTCAGTGCGGCGTCAAGCGCCGGGGTGTTCTAAACTTCACGGACTGGTTATTTCCGCGCCCCTCTCCCGGCTGGATAAAACCCCCGGGCTGGGAAGCGCGGCCAAGCCTGCCCCTCTCCTCGCGGGAGCGCCCGGCCGCCTCTCCCAGGTAGGGGCTGGGCGCTCCCAGCCCGGTCCCAGGGGTGCCGCTGCCTCCCCCGGCGATGGAGACCGCTGAAAGTACCCCTGCTTGATTTGTTTTTCCTCTCTTTCAAGGTTCACGATGTTGACAGCTATGTTCTTGGCTGCTCTCGTTCTTATTACAGTACATTCGCAGGAAACTGAGGAAACCATAACGTACACGGTAAGGCTTAACAGAGTCGGAGGTAATTACTGCTTTGCGGGGATTCTTTTCTAAATGACCCTTAGGAAAAACCGAATTTCTTGCCAATGTATAACGTGTTCTATAGAGGTCGTGGAGTTCAGATGTTAACCATAAAATAAGCTGTTCCTGCCCTGAAACACCGTTTAAAAGTGGACAAGATTGAGCAAAATAGGCTTCAACTGCCTGCTCTAAAAAGTTTATCTAGGTACTCAGCTTAAGGGAGTGAACAAAATGTTAATATTGTTTTAATCCATTTTCATAAAGAGAGAGTCCCTAGGACCTTCACTTGAAATATATGGAATTTGACAGATAATTAGGTCGAACATTCCTATGTGTTTTCTTAGGGTCATTTCAAGCTGCTTTTAACAAAATGTGTTTCCAAATTCGGGGCTCTTAATGAAGCATCTGAGTCCTGCAGTGATCACGGGACTGTTCATTTCCGAGCTGCTTTTGAGCAGTGGTTTTGCATGGCTTGATAAAATTGCACAGGAATACTGGAAATAGGTTCTGCTTGCAACCAAGTGCCAGGGTAAGAGATGTAAAGGCGGTTTTTAAGGGTTTTTTTCCTTTAAATGTGCTCGCATTCAGCCTTTGGCTTGCATAATGCATGTCATGGAAGGAGTGGCAATTACATCGGTCTGGGCTGGGGAAAAACCCGCATTTTCACATCTGATTACAGTTGTAATCCCTGCAACTTGCTTCATATGGGTGGACCTCTGGATGTGTGCACACACATCAGCAATGCCACACAAGCAGAAAATTCTGCACACATGCAAAAAGTTAGAGAACCACAGCCAAAGCCTGAGATTGGGACTTACACAAGTAATCCCACTGAAGTCAGTGGGATGGCTCCAGCAAGTAAATATTGCAGAGTTGGACCTTCTGGTAGAAGTCAGGGCTTAAAGAAGCCTCAAGTGAGCATCAGGAAGTCAGTCATAAAATACTTTAACACCGGGCTTTAGGAGCATTAGGGGTTTGAAGGCTGGGAGTACTTTTATTTAGAGGCTTCTGTGATTTACTTTTTTTTTCAAGTCCCTATGTATAAGTGGAAACTGAAGATCTAAGTACCTTTTGAAAATCCAGATTAAACAGGGATACACATCCCCCCCCTCCTTTTCTGCATTTATTACCTGTTCCTTTCTAAAAATAAAGTAGCGGTTTTGGATCAGCCTACATAATTCTGATTACACCAACTGAAAGTTTGTAGCACGTCTCTATAACCTGGGTACCCACGCTCCATTCTCAGAGAGTTCTTAGCATGTAGGTGCTTGGATGATCGTTAGACTGCAGCCATGTAAGCTGAAACCAAACACTTCGCTTTGGGATCCTGTGCTCCTGGGATGCTACTGTTTCTCATGCAAACATTGTATTCACTTAGGGCCAAATCCTTTGCTATTGTAAAAGCGCCTTGGGCCGCAGTAATAGATGGACTTGGCTCCTGGCAGGCCAACACACAGTACTTCTGTTGTGCATTAACAGGAATCGGGTGATTCAGTAAATGCATGAATTAGCTGTTTTCCCTTGGGTCTGCGTTTTCATAGCTACAGTAACTTTGGTGTTGTCAACTCAGCATGTAGTCATTCCTTTAGGGAATGTCCACTTACCCCTCTGGGAGAAAGAGCCTTCAAAGTTGCAGCTCGCTGCCAAGTTCGCTGGTGTCACCTGCAAGGCAAGAGAACATTTTCAGTCCTACTGCTGAGTCAGTAACAAGTTCCTCAAAATAACTTGAGGAGAGTACGTGGAACACGTGGATCTTGGCATCAGAAGGTCAAGTTTGTCACTTGTAAGTCCCTGAGCAGCAGAGGAGCAGCAACAAGATTGAGCTTGCTTGGCTGTGACTAATTCCATTAGCCGACTCAATTCTTTTGTTGTATGGGGCCATTAAACCAATATCCTGAGCAGCACAGGATGCACCTACACAGCACAGCCCCCTTGATTCAACGAGAGTTTAATATTTTTAATGTTTCTGCTGCAGTTGGTAGCACCAGGATACTTTGCTACTCAGTTTCTGTAACTGCAATCTGCGATTAAAATGACTTTGCTCTAGACAATGTAATGGTTTTGGGGCAGATGAATAATGAAGATGCAGAGCAGAATATTTAAAATTATTGCTGAACTTGCTAGTCTGCATTGATATGAGTGGTTGCTGAGCCTTGTCTTGTTTGAATTTTGCAGAGTCTTGTATAAATAAGTAGTCCTGCCGCTATAAACTCTGAGGGTTTATTGTGTGTCTCACAATATAAATTGTCCTTCCTCGACGGCAGTGCCTGGAGTCATGTGATTAAAAAGCATGTGAATGAATTCCCAGGCGTTGTGGGATCCCTCCCCATTGCCCGAGTGCTAACGGGAGAGAGGATGAAGGCCAGGGGCACTGAGTCCCCCCAGGCCCTGGGCATCAATCACATTCACCTGTTGGAAGGTTGGGAACAAGATCAAAATTCTGAAAAACTTGCTGGTTTTTCCCTGAGAAGATTTTCCTGCTGCTCAGCTGAGTCAAGCCAAAGGACAGATGCTTAAAGATAATGCATAAGAACAGGGCAAGGAGAAAGGGATGCTTTTCTCACTTTGTTCTCCAGCCCCAGTAAAAGCAACCTGCTCAAACCTTCCCGAGACAGAGGCTCTCTCTGTACATTATAGAATATTCCAAGTTGGAAGGGACCCAGACTTGCTGTTCGTGTGAAACAGTGCTGTACCCATAGCTGTTACCAGTAGCCACTTTTCTAGCTTACCAAGGCATGCAAACATTGCTTTTCCCTCAGTGTCAAACTGGGAGCTTGCTGAATACACTTGATTATTTTTCCAAAACACAGAATCCTGAGCAGCCTAATTCCTTTCTTTTCTCTTTCTCTGCAGCAATGCACAGATGGCTATGAGTGGGATCCTGTTAGGCAACGGTGCAAAGGTACAGTGACCAATTCCCCCAGACAGACTTGCCACTGGTATTGTCTCAGAACTGCCGTTGCACCCCCCGTTTTGGGCAGGGGGGTGTGTGTGCACGTCTGGTTGTTTTGTTTGTATTGTGGCCGTTGCAGGAGGTCCGCCTGTTAAAAGCATGCCTTGTGTTGTTGCTAACCACAGATATTGATGAATGTGAAATAGTCCCAGATGCATGTAAAGGTGGGATGAAATGTGTTAACCACTATGGAGGATACCTCTGTCTACCCAGAACGGCCCAAATTATTGTAAATGAGCGGGAAGAAGCAGCGGCCGAATCCACCAGCGGTCGGAACAACGTGATCCGCCGGACCCCGGCCGACCCCCAGCGAGCCCCCCCAAACCCAACCCACCAAATCCAGTGCGCGGCTGGGTACGAGCAAAGTGACCACAACGTGTGCCAAGGTAAGGAGTGCCCTCGGGTTCGCTTTTGGAATGGGCAGTGTGGGTGGCAGCAATCCTCTGCCTGGGCAGTGGAATCTCACCTTGGCTGGAAGGGGTTGTTCTCCAGGAAACTGGACATGTGCACCCTTAGGACATGTAAATAAATTACAGGCATGATGTTGTTCAAGGTACAGAACGTGCAGCTTGTTGCAGCCTTACAGTCTGTTCCATCTATTTAGAATCAATTCTGTTGTCTGTAGCTCCCAAAAAAACCTTTAAAGCAAGTCTAGTCCAGCATTTTGTGTTGTACTAGGTATGTCAAGGAGAGGCAGTGCTGTGAAAAAAGTGGGCAAGACAGCAAATCATAAACAGTTCCTAAAGGTTTGCAGAACTCTGTGTTTCTCAGTAAGTGAATGCTGAATGGGACAAAAAGTAACCACTGTGTGAACTTCTGCTTAGAGCAGACTGCAGTGAGAAGGGTCCAGTGCTTTTATCCTGGATCAGGAATATTTCTCCAGGGGTAGGAACCAACCAGCTGAACAGCCTGCGCTCCTGTGATCCCTGTGGAAGTAGCTCTAGGCAGACCCTGCCAGGTTACTTCCAGTCACAGCCTGGCCACTCTTTGAAACTATGGCAATGAAGAGCTTTCATCTGAGTGTACATACACCACACACAGTGCCAAAAATTCTCAGGGCATTAGCAATGTTAATTGTATGCATTCAGCAACCAGACTCACAAGCACTACTGTAAACTAAGACTCTTTCATTTATTATTTCATATAAATAGTTTACTCTTCTACTTGCTGAAGTAACAAATGTTTCGTCCACTGTTTTGTTTTCTTTCATAAAAATACATTCTACTCCTTGGTCCCAAACTTGCTTTTCAAGCACATTAGTGGGATACCCCTGAAAACAGGGGGCAAAACTTGACCTCATGGTTCATCTTTTCCACTTTGTGGCCTGTAACAGTATAATCACATAAAATAGTACTTGAGTGACTATAATCAGGGCGAGCTGTAATGTACAGTGGTAGTTTCCTTCTCGCTGGTATTCGTGTACACAGAAGGTTATTTATCACTAGTAAGTAAATTCCCTGTCATTCTGGAGCACAGTAATCATCATGGAGAGGCTATTTTTGTAGGCAGAGCCTCAGAGTTGCATTTCTGGCTTATCTGCTCACGTTCAACGTTTTCTGTCCCCCCGATTCAAGAATGTCAAGCACAGAACCTACTGCAGGAGGTCAGTGCTGAGATCCCCTCAACCCTGGGCATTCACTTGGGGTTATCAAGAGAAAATCAGTGCTAAGGAGGGAAAATTACCTTTTCTTTCTCTTAGTTTAACTTGGCCAAGCAGCAGCAGAACCAGGAGTGGAACTCCTGGGTTGGGCTGGCACTCCCTCCTTCAGGTGATGCTCCTGGCACTCCTCTTCCCTGGGGAATCACAACAAACTGCTTCAACTTCAGCACATAACATTTTGGTCTGATTAAAAAATGCAAGAAATGCTAGAAAACTTCCCAACACGACCATCCCTTTTGCTGCCCTGGCTTTGGGGGTATAAATTTGGGATAGAGGAGGGAAGACTAACAGTATGTTAAATACCTTGTATGCCAAATAGAGGTTGGGAGTTAGAGACCAACAACTAGTTGAGGTTTCTGTTTCGGTGAGGAGAAGATTGGTGGTGATACATTACTATTACTTTACGATCCAGCTTCCTGAAACTTGCAACTAAATATTTCTATTCAATTCACAATCTTTGGTTAATTGAGGACAAGTAACTGTTGTTACGGTACCAGAACATCGTAACCCAAGCACACAAACTGTGGTGAAATCTTGGGCTTCACTGAATCAAGAGTTTTGCTACTCATTTCCTCATGCCAGAATTTCAATCTAAATGCAGAAAGCATGGAAATCTTAGTGCTTAAAAGCTGAAATGTATTGTACTGAATGAATTCCAGCTGGAAAAGGGGCAGTGGACAGTGTGCTTGAAAGAAAGGATAAAAGACTTTTGGAGCACTTAAAGCCTGCATTCAACTTCATGATCTTCATGCTTTTCACTGCTGAAAATTTCTTATAAAAGATAATCTTGATCAGCAATGGTCCCAGTGCGGATTTATTTAATTATGGTTAAAAGACTCTGCTATGATAACTGCCCCAGGCTCCCAGGGAGTGTAACTCGCAGATACAGTCACACTTAAGCTTGTTTTATTGTTTAGTAAATCAAATATGAAGTCCAGCTCCTTCTAATTGTTTGCAGATGTATGGCATTCTCCTTCCAGTCCAGCAGCACTAAGTATTTTATAACCAATGTGAAAGTGTGGAGACCTCTGGTTCAAACAACAGCAGGCTCTGAGGAGCTGAGTTCCTGCCCTCGCGCTGCAGGGTGAGGGGCCTTCTGTTGGAACACCAGTGTCCACTCCCCCTTTAAACACGGAACAGTGGGGGGGGACAGGCCAAACACACTCCTGGGCTTGGAATAAATAGATAGAAATGTCCTGGTCCTGCTTCTGATGCGCTGAGAGACAGCATTTTTGTAACTACTGGTGTTTGGAAACACGTGGATGTTAAAGGTGTAGGCAGTAAAAGTTTCCTGGGAAGTTCTAAAATGAGTGCCAGGAGCGCCCAGAACGATGCCAAGATGAGGGGAGGTTACTCTGGAGGGAGATTCTGTAGGAATTGCAGAGAGCCTCGAGTGTTGTGCTGCAACACTTGTACCGGGCCTTAAATTCTGAGTTTGTGACCTTAACCAATCCCTGGGATAAGCAGTTCCCACTTCAGTGTCACTCCTACATTTGGTCACCAAGGTAGATTCCCAGATGTGGCACAGGAAGGCACTGGGATGCCCAGACCTGCCACTGTGAGAGTATCACTGTAACTGGTGAGCAAAAAGCAGAGGTAGAAACATTTTTAAGTGAATTACTGGGTTAACTCATACTCACAGACACTTTTTGCCTGATAAAAACCATAAAGAGCTGCACTCAGTGCCTCGTACAGGACTGAGTTGTATTTTACTGTGATTTGAGTCTGCTCCTATTGCAGTCAAAAGCAAATCAGCCAATTAATTCAATTTTGTCAAACCCAGTCTACAAGAACATAACTGGCTTTTCTTAGAATGTTAATGGCAGTGGAATGAAAAAAGGGACCAAACAAAGGTACCAAATAACCTGCAAACTTGAGAGGGGGAAAGAACTTCTTTTTCCTGCCCTGCTCCCATGCTGGCAATACAAGCAATAAAATAAGCAGGTTTGCTGCTCCTCAGCTAAATGAGCCTCTGAGATTTCTCCAGCCTGTTTATCACCCTTTGTGCTACTGCAAATGTGAAGGGCAGGAGGGACACAGATTGTAATACAAGAGATCAATATTTTCTCAGATGGCAGATACACGTTTTTCCAAGGAGTTCTGCCTAGACTTGGTGGATGTTGGTTGCTTTTTTTCTTTCTCTATGCAGGGAGGAAAGAAACGACTTTGTTTTCTGTGGTGTGCTTACTTTTCCCCTGCAAAATCGTTTCAGGGCTCTCCTCATCGTAGGGCTTAGGGATTTTTTTTTTTTTTTTAAGTTTTCTGGTTCTTTTCAAAGTAACTTACCACACTCCAGCTATGCTTTTCATTCAAGAAGTTAATTAAGTGTGAATAAATCAAATAAGCCTATGTTTTGCATCTCTAGAGTCCTTTGTTCTGTTAAGGAGGGAGGGACAAGGAGGAGCAGCTTGTAATGTCCTTTTTCATACAGAAATGCCTTTCTATGAAATATCTCTACCTGTCAGGGATGTGCAAGCACAGGACAGAGGAGGTGGGTGAGTGCAGGTGCCCTTGCCTGGCTCAGACTGTGCCTCTGGCAGCTCTTCCTTGGCATTTTGGCCGTGGCACAGAAGGCCCCTCTGCAAAGCAGCTCTTAATGAGCTCCACTCACCCTGCTTTGATTTCCCTCCCCGAGGGGTCCTGCAGGGTTTGCAGGTACAGCTCAGAGGGAACCAAACCTGGAATGAGCGGCAGGAGGGTCACTGATGTGCCACAACCACTAAGGGGCATTCCAGTCTTCAGGGCTGGAACCCAGAGACCCTCAGAAGGGCATGGACTGGGAGTTTGGAGCCTCTGCACCAAGTTCTGATCTGCTCCTGTGGGTTAAAGCTATTTGCTAATACAGAACCTAAAATACAGCTACAATCACTTCTTAGGCTGAGCCCAGAAAGGTTTTGGAGAGATTTTTGTAACATACTGCACCACCCCGTGTTTTCCCCATTCTTGTACATGAGGAGTACTTAAAAAATGCCTCAGGACCACTTTGGAAAGAGCCTGAGGTGTGATGAGTTTAGTTCCAGGGTTGTTCCTCTTGGGGCAAGACTATTTACAAGGACATACAGGACAAGGGCGAATGGGTTTAAATTGAAAGAGAGAAGGTTTAGATGGAATATTAGAAAGGAATCCTTCCTTATGAGGGTGGGATGGGTTGCCCACACAAGCTGTGGCTGCCCCTGGATCCCTGAAGTGTCCAAGGCCAGGCTGGACGGGGCTTGGAGCAATCTGGGCTAGTGGAAGGTGTCCCTGCCCCTGGCAGGGGGTGGCACTGGGTGGGCTTTGAGGTCCCTTCCCACCCAAAGCATTCTATGATTCTATGAAGAGCACTGGACCTGTTCAGTTGGAGGATGCGGTGAGGAGAGAGGCTGTGCTAGGAGAAATAAGGCCTGCTTATCTGGGTCAGGATGCCATCGGTTCACCCCAGGGCCAGCTCAGTTCACGTGCCTGTATTTGCTGCAGAACTTCAGCAGGTGGGCAGCACTTGCTGGCAGCAGGAGCCACTGAGACTGACCTGGTTACACGTGCCATTGGAACACTAAGTCCTTGGACAAGACATAGGAATGTGGCAGGTCCAAGAGAATCCACAGAAGGACACAAGCTGCCACTTCATAGCTCCTTGTCCTGACTGTTCACTGATGCCAATTAATTTCTGGTACATTTGGATACATCGTGCAGAGATCATCTTTCACCAGCCCATCCTGAACCAATTGTTCAGGCTGTTAATCTGTGAAAGTGCTGCATTCTGCTGCAAAGAGCCCCTTCTGGAGCATCTCTTTAGCAGCCTTGAGGGCCCAGAGGGGACCTCACAAAAAAAACATCTTGCTCTGAGGGCCTGGTTTGGGGCATTTTGGAAATCTGGTCACTCTGAATCATCTCCCCATCTGTGCTATTTGCACAGCTGTGAGTGTCATGTCAAGACCTTGGATGGATATTCCCTGTTCTGTCTGACCATTTTGCTGTGAGCATCCATCACAAGCATAAATACAAGCAGCTGCTTTCCTTCTTGTAGTGAGTTGCTGCTTTCCCATTGTCCTGACCCTGCAGGAATACGCTCCATGTGCTGCAGCTAAAGCTTCCTCCCCTTTACTAATGGTGCTAAGTGTCCTAGAGGCAAGCAAGCCTCCCAAAGCTGTATTTACCTTAGCTGCTCAACTGGGATTGTGCAGGCAAGCCCCAGACTTCCAGTTTAAGTAAACTCATTAGCAGTTCTCATGGCCCCTCGTTCCAGGAAAATGGGATTGTACAGTAGTCACATCCACTGTCATCCTCGTGGGCTGGATTTGTTGATTTTAAAGCCTGTTTCCTTAGTAGCTCGGAGGAGGCTCATGTTTTGACAGACAAAACATTGCAAATGGATTCAGAAGGCACATGGCCTGAAGGAAGTCCAAGCCTCCAGCCATCTGTCCTCCTTCAGAATTCCACTCTCTAAGCTGGAGGTCCTTTCCACGGCGCAATCAGGAATAACACCAGATAGCAGAGGGGAAGAATGTGCTTATGCCTGATCCTGACTTGGCTTCCCCCTGTACTTGGCACCCCATTAAAAGGCTTAGAGTACTTCTCCCTCCCTGGGAGGAATTCCCTGTACCTGCTGCAAAGGCAGCCCCAGGCACCCTGCAGGCCAGGGAGCCCCCCAGGGCAGGGGAGCTGTCCCTCAGGAGCATCAGAGCGCACAGCACGGGGCTGTGGAGCACGGTTTGATCCCGGGCCAGCACCTGCTCCCGGTGACTCACACCCTCCAGCACTGCGGGGCTGCAGAGACAGCACCCTGGAGCCGTCATCAGCACCCGCCTGCAGGATTGCAGTGCCACTGCTGCCACTCTGGGCAGAGATTTTGGGAACCCTCCTTCCACGAAAGGATCCCAGGGATGTTCTCAGCGTGCTTGCTCTGGGAAGGTCTGCGGTTGTGCCTTCCCAGTCTCCTGCACTCTCATTCCTCAGCCTGCTGAGAGGGGCTCCTCCTTCCTACAGCTGTTTGCTCAGGGTCATTTTCTCTCAAACAATCTCTTCTCCCTTTTCAGACCCGATTCCTACTTCAGACTAATTAGTGTGCAATGGAAATGCTCTTCCATTTTGGAAGCACCAAGCCACCCTTGCTAGAACATTTCCAAAGGCTCTCAGCACTGCAGACACACAGTTTTCAAAGTCCCAAGATGTTGCTTGAGCATCCCCAAGGACGAGATGCTAATTTAGCAAGTTGGGACCCTTGTTCAAGTTTGAAACTGTTATTTTCCTTATATTATTCCCTTTCCCAGTGATTTTCTCCCTTGCCCTGCTGGCAAAGGAAGATGATAGCTGCTGTTTCTCTCTGCCTTTCTGTGAGTGCCAGAAGAGTCCTGCAGGGAGAACAAAGCCTCCCACAAAGGCAGCAGTGGTGTGTTTGATCCCCCTGCACCACCCAGGGATGCCTGTGCTCCTTTGCATGTCCTTTCCCAGGGAATTCCATCTGCTGCTCCACAGCCCAGTCTCCAGCACTCCAAGAATCCATTCAGAGGGATGCTGAGACTTGCTGTGCTGCCCTTTCCCCCTGGCCAGAGGCAGTGGGAGTGTTACAGGACTGGGGAGGTATTTTGGGTCTGGTGGAAAGCACAGTGGGAGTGTGATTTTTGAGCTCATCTTCCCAGGTTGCACCTCAGACATTGCACATGTGCTGTGGTGTGGTCAGCCACTCTTGGGCAGCACTTTGTGCTGTGTCTGTGTTCACTGAGTTCAAGGAGTTGTACTTTTTGGTCATGGTTTTAGGGTTAGCTGAGCTTGGCCACCTCCCTTCATTACACTTCCAGAATATTTATCTCCTTTTCCACCCTCTGTGATGCTTTCTGTTCTACTTTTTCTGGACTCTCACCACTTATGCACACCGGATTTAGGCATCCTTTGGGCTGAAGGGTTTTTATCAAAAGGAATTTTGCCACATACCTGTCAAAGTTTAGTTGCTTCTGTCCACGAGACTGGGAGATCTGAACTTGGCTTGTAAGATCTCTTCCCTCTGCATGTGTCAAGAAAATATGGAATAGGTCATCAGCTGTATAAAATTCATGGATAAAAAGCATGAAATTCCATAAAAATCATAGGGTTTCATCTTTAATTTGCTAAGTTCTTGTTTTCATAGCAGCCAGAAAGGGACAGTTTGGAGAGAGAGTTATTTGCCATAATTAAATATACAGCAATATTTAACTTGCAAAAAATGTACTAAACACATGAGAACCCTGCTTGTTTCTTCTTTCATCTACCTTTGAACTTCACCAAAAATCCAAGAGGGATTTGCACATTACAGAGCTCTGAAGTATTTTAGCACACATGCAGCTATTACAAAATACCTTTTATGCTCATTCCCGTTTGTGTTTTAGTTGTTAATGTGAAATCCCATTGAAAGTTGGTTCAACTGTGAGGAGAGTGTTTAATCTTTGTTAGGTAGAATTATATGGTAAAACCTGTAGCATTGAAGCTGGAAAAAAATGACTAAGAAAACAGGTGTTATACAGACTTGCATAAGTTGCAGTGATAAGAAAAAGTTCTTCAGGCCCAAAAACCAATTAGACATTTTCTGGCACAAGGTATCCCAAGCTCTTAATTAAGCATTTTAAAAATGAGATATAATTAGACCCTTTATCTAATAATAAAGGCATATCTAAATTTTTTTTAATTATATAAAAGTACAGCCTTATCTGTTGCTGTTCCTGAATACCTTAAATAAGGAATTCACCTCACTGCAAAATGCCCCGTATCTGTTCTGCAGTTAAAAGGTGGTGGGGTGGGTACTGCAGATCTGACAACAGGACTAATTTAAACAAATCCTCACCCATACTGTGACAGCTCCTGGTGCCAGAATGAGGTACAAGTGGGGACTGCAAAAACTTGGGAAAGGTAACAATTTTCTGGGTGGTTTTCCAGAGCTTGCAATAAGGTAACATTTAATAACGGGAACACAGGAAAGGAATACATTGCCATGTTTTCAGGATTATTTTAGGACTTGGTCTATCTTATAAAACTACCTTGATCAGAAAGATGGGAAAATCAGTCTCTTTCTTGTCTAAATTTACTCTATGGAGAATCAAAATTCTAAATCAATTTTAAACCAGTTTGATTTTGCTGCTGCTACTTGCACTTTCATATCTTGTAGTATTGAAAGCACTTTCTTCGTAGATTAATTTGTTCTCAGGGGACTTTCTTATCAGGAGCCAGTTCTCCACAGGACCCCCAGGGGATAAAGGTGAACCAGGTCAAACAAGGTACGGCCTGTCTCGCCTGGGCTGGGGTCAGAGCAGCAATGTTTCCATGGGCAGGGAGCACACAGTCCCGGCAGGAACAAGGGGAGCTTTGGAGCAGCCACGTGTCCCCCACAGGCTGGGGATGACACCTGACTTTGTTGTCAGTGCCAGCAGATAACAGTTACAGGCTGCAGTCAACAGCACCATCCAGGCTGGGCTCCTCTCGGGGTTCTGGGGTTTGCAGAGGCAGCACAGCATCATGGCTCAAACAGCCTGGGGGGAACACAGTTATAACCATACTCATAACCTTATCCCTGTTATCGTCAGTGCAGGGAAAACACCCACCCACTTCCCCCACTGTAAACAATGACTGCTATTTAAACAATCCAGGAAATATATTCCTAAGTTTTAATCTCTTAGTCAGTATGTGGAAAATGATGGTTTTGGGGAGGGGGCTGCTGTTTGTGTGTGTGTTCCTCTATCAGAAACGGCAGCTCTGTGAGGCTATAAAAGAGAAAATCCCCCATTTCTAGAAGATTATTTTTATGAAAGGGTTGCTTCACTATGCATTTAAATCAAAACATTGTGCTGACACTCCGAGTTCAGTGTCCCCTGTCAGGAGAATGTCTCCTCACCCTGGATGCAGATTTACAAGGCTCCAGGCACCTTTGAAATCAATTGAGAGCACAGCCGTGTCACGGAGCCAACAGCCCAAAGCAGCCAAGGGGATCCACCCAGCAACACCCTCGGACACCCCCAGCTCCTCCCCTCAGCACAGCTTCAGAGCACCAGGCTGGAGCTTGTCTCTGCTTTCTCCACCCTCCCAGCGCTTCCTGGGGGATTCCCCGGCTCCAGAGAAGCGGGAGCCGTGCGAGGGCAGCTCGGGGTGCAGGAACTCTTCCCTTCCTGATTTTCCCACCTAGCAAACAGCTCTCTGCAGTGCTGCTCATCCCAGGGCAAGGGGGATCCTGCCAAACAGGAGCAGCTCAAGAGAAAGCCACACTTTGGGGATGGGGACAGGTTTTAATGACAGGGAAAAAGAGAGAAATACGGCAAACCCACGCAGAAATAAGGAGGGGTTAGAGAAGGCAGGTTTGCAAGTGCTGCTTCCCACTCTGAGACACACAGCTCCAGCCTTGATTTATGATGCTGAAAGGTGGTACTGCTGGAGGAGCCCAGAAAAGGAAATGGTTCCTGAACTCCCTGCCATGGGATAGGAGCGAGGCCAACAGCACTAAACAAAGGTCTGGGCATTTCATGCAGCAGTTAAAGCCCAGCACCTTCTCAAAGGGTTATAAACCCAATTCATGCTTAAGGCAGTGTGTAATTACTAAAGAATGTCAGGATGAGGTTACTTGTTGAAGAGCTGATTGGTGATATCTGTAATTTTCTGAGGTATCTCATTCTGAGAATGCACAGCCCGTGGAGTTTTCCATCCTCCTGGATGTGGTGACTGCTGCCTGTGGACTGAGCACAAGGCAATTCCCAGAGCTCTGACCAACCACTCCAGTAGACAGTAGATGCTCAGCACCATGATAGAACCACTCCTGGCCCTACAACCTGCGGAAGGTTGAGACTTTTTCTGGGGGAGAGAACAAACCAGTGTAGTTTTGTTGAGAACTGAAACCATTGGGAAATTCAGACAAGAGTTTCTGTAATTGTGCCAAAGTGATGTGTAAATAATCTGATGATTAGCTGTCAAATGCGACTCAATATATTTCTATAGCAAAAAGAGACCAGGTTTTAGCATCAGAAGCTTTTCATCCTAGGAACCACGGTTTGTTTTCATGGAATACTGAAATTCAGTGACATTTTGTACTGGCAAAGCTTCCAGGGGCCTCGAACACGAGCATGGGGAAGGAACTGTCCTGCTCTGAACATACCTTAGGAAGGGTAGGCTTCACCCCCCACCCTTGCTGTGCTCAGTGGTGCATCTGGGACAAAAGCAGCAGCAGCCTGTGTGACTCTTCCCATCTGATTCCTTGTTTGAGTGCCTGTCACGTCCCACACGGCCAAGAAGTGGCCTCAGCACGTTCTGGCTCGCGGTGCAGTGGGAGCCCCGGGGGTCCAGCCACGTGCCTCGTGTGTGACCACGGCCCAGCCAGAAAGAGCAACCCCAAGCGCCTGAAACTCTGACACAAGGCCAAAAGGCGGCACTGGGAGCGGGGATTTTTAATCTGGCTGTCCCAGCCCTGGGATGGGCCTGCACCAAGGGCAGAGCATCTCTGCAGAAGATGGCCCAGGCACCGCAGCTTTACGGCCCAGAGTTGCAGAGCTGTGTCTGTCACACAGATCCAGCTTCAGACAGCATTACTGTCCCTCTGGGAGGCACTTGGGATGGGCTGCAGAGACAACAGCCCTTAAAAGCTGCTCTGAGAATAGGCAGGTTTTTCCATTCCTGTCATTTGGGCCTCATTTGAAAAATGAAATGCTTATGTCCCACTGTTAACTATTCTTAGCACCAATTTCACAGTTTTAAGCCCAGGGATGACCAAATGGCTTCCTTACAGTTCTTTTTCTCTTGGTTCACAGCTGGGCTGAGTTTATTTACTTCTGTGCTGCGGTTACATGCAAAAAAAGCTAAACTTTTGTGACAGCCTCCACAAATGTCTTAATTAGAAACCTCAGTTTTACTTATCAAACTATTTATGGTCATTTATGGTGCCACTCACCAGTGACAGTTCTTTTGTAGAAGGCACCAAATGCACATCTGCAGTGAAAAACCTCACCTGAGAAAACCTTCCATGTTCATCCTTCTAAACTTTGGGGCTTCCATTCCTTCTTTATTTTCTTCGACGAGATTAAAAAATACACCTTCTTGGGCTTCACCTATTTCTTACTGTGCCTTTCAGAACTGAAATTTGTACAAAATTCTGCTCTATTTATATGAAAATATGGTTTGTTTTCTTACAAAAGGTGAAGGTGAGGAGGTGTTTTCTGTAAGGGAGAATAACACAGTTCTGGGCAGCCCTGGGTTTGATTGGAAACATCTTCCTGGGGAGCAGACTAACTAGTGAGAAGCCAGATGTCATTCCCAACCTCCCAGGACACAACTCTGGCTACAGGTGAAACAGAATTAAAAATAAATCAAAAATAATTGAAAAATGAATAATTTCACTGCCACCTTTGCCTCAGTTTCCAGTGTCCTGAACCAGTCCTTCACCTTGTTGCTGGCAGCTGTTATTGTAAAGCCCCCCACTGAAAGCTGCCAGAGCAGGCCTGCAATGGCAGGCACCGGCTGATCCACTCACGGGTGGGTGGGAAAGGCTGGAGAGGCTGGGAGGGAACAGCCTGGATGGGAAGGAACTGGCTGTCTTCTCAGGGTGTCTCAGTGTCAGAACATCCCAGCTCATCTCCCACCTAGAAATGCTGCTCCTTTCAGATGCCCTTCCCACAATTCTCATTTCTATTTCATTCCTAGTCTCTGTTTTCTTTGCTTGGACCAGCACCGAGTGCCAGAACCTGCCTGCAAACAGCAATTCACACTGTGACCCTGGATAAATCACTGTACAGTTACCAACTGCAGTCTGAGAGCAGCAATGAAACAAAGCTGCTCCTTCAGGAAGCCAGACCCTTTACGTTTATGATTTCTGGTGGCTCTGAACAGGGCTGGGAACAGCTGACAGTGCCAGATGAGACCACACTGTCACTTTTACTCACAAGATGCTCCATGCCGCTTTTTGAGGGAGTCAAGCCTGGCTTGGCTAAAATAATCATCTCCTCAGTATCCTCTCCGTAAAGTCCTATCCCTTCTAGAAGTGCAAATTCAAAACTCTTG